ATGGGCATCTTGAGGGATTCACAACAGTGCTTCATAAACACTTTGCTGCTGCTTTATGTTTGTTTGTTTGTTTGTTTGTTTGTTGGGGTGTTGGGGTGTTTGTTTGTTTGTTTTTTTCCTCACATGTTCTTTTTATGTAATCCACAGACATTGATGAGTGTGCTAACTCCCCCTGCTTGAATGGAGCATTCTGTGTGAATCTCGTCAACAGTTTCCAGTGTGTGTGTCAGACAGGATACACTGGGACCTTGTGTGGCACAGGTGGGTAGATGGGGTGATTTCTAAGATTGCATTCAATGGTATCTGCAGCACCTTGTTTTTGATGAAGGGTGTGAAGTTAATGTTGTTGTTTATTTCTTTGGATGACGTACATGAAACATACATGAGCATTAGAGGGCGACTTGTTGCCTGGCAACAAGGTTTGAATTTAGCCAGTTTCCTGTAACTTGTAGGATTTTGTTGTTTCCAGATATTGCTGAATGCATCAGCTTCCCTTGTATGAATGGAGCAACTTGTCTTGAGATGGTGAATGGATACCAGTGCCAGTGTGCTGCTGGATTCACAGGAACTCATTGTGAAACAGGTATTGAATTCATCTCAGTGAGTAATGAGACACTGTTGAATAGTTTGCAGATCCTTCAAATAATAGTTTTGTGACTATTGTGGTGACTAAAATGTGTTTCAATTTTTTAATGTCAGACATCAATGGCTGTGTGTCGCATTCCTGTGAGAATGGAGCCACTTGTGTTGATCTGACCAATGGCTACAGATGTGACTGTGCTCCAGGCTACCAAGGAATCTTCTGCCAAGATTGTAAGTACTTGGAGAGAAAGCAGAAACTTGAATAATTGTTTAAATGTAGTTATTTTGCCAATTTTGCAATTTATGGCCAGTTTCGGGTGTTTTGTAAACTAGGCATAAAACAGGGAAGACTTGGCTTTTTGTGAAAACAAACAGATGAAGAAATTTTGTGTAATTTGCTGTTTTTACAGTGATCATGGAGTGTGCCAGCAATCCCTGTATTAACGGAGGTACCTGTGTGGACCTAGTGGCTGACTACCGCTGTGATTGTGTTCCTGGATACACCGGCAAAGACTGTGAAACAGGTTAGTTCCTCTTTTAGGCCTAATTTCAAAGATATAGGAGATAGAAGTTGCTTCACAAATGCGTACCATAATTTTTATGCCTAAAGAAACAAAATATTTTGCTAGCCAGCCACAGTTCTCTTTGTGCCAAAAAATTTTCTTAACTGGTTCTGGCATATCATTTCCTGTTTGCAATCTGTTGAAAGTGTGAAGACTCCTTGACCTGCTCTTGTCATTTTAACCCTAACTTGAGGAGGTCAGATCCTGGCAATTGCGCAGTTCTTTTTATCGTAGGAGGTGTTTGGGCATGTGACCG